CAATGTGGTATACTGCATCCGCTGTACCCGGTGTGGCCTCCTCTACATCGGGGAAACCAAGCGGAGGCACGGGGACCGCTTTGCAGAACACCTACGCTCGGTTCGCAATAAACAACTGCACCTCCCAGTCGCGAACCATTTCAACTCCCCCTCCCATTCCTCAGACGACATGTCCATCCTGGGCCTCCTGCAGTGCCACAACGATGCCACCCGAAGGTTGCAGGAACAGCAATTCATATTCTGCTTGGGAACCCTGCAGCCCAATGGTATCAATATGGATTTCACAAGCTTCAAAATCTCCCCTCCCCCTACCACATCCCAAAACCAGCCCAGCTCGTCCCTGCCTCCCTAACCTGTCCTTCCTCCCACCTATCCCCTCTTCCCACCTCAAGCCGCACCCCATCTCCTACCGACTAACCTCATCCCGCCTCCTTGACCTGTCCATCCTCCCTGGACTGACCTATCCCCTCCCTAACTCCCCACCTACACTCACCTTTACTGGCTCCATCCCTGCCTCTTCGACCTGTCTGTTTCCTCTCCACCTATCTTCTCCTCTATCCATCTTCTATCCACCTCCCCCTCTCTCCCTATTTATTTCAGAACCCCCTTCCCCTCCCCCATTTCTGATGAAGGGTCTAGGCCCGAAACATCAGCCTTTCTGCTCCTATGATGCTGCTTGACCTGCTGTGTTCATCCAGCTCTGCACCTTGTTGTCTCGCTGTGTAATGGGCGGCTGTTTGTGTTTTTTCTCCCTGTCTCTGGTCAGTGCAGACACAACGGCCTCTTCCTGTGCAGTTTCTTGACTATAGTGAGAAGAACAACACAATGGTTTTCTCTCTCCATTCGCTGCAGCTCAGAGTTTGTGGTCATTACAGTCTGTACTTTGTTCCTGTTTGCAGAGTTGCCTCAAAAACCACACTCTCAGGCTAATGTGTCACAGGCCATTTAACAGGAAGAGTGGTGACACCAATGGCTCGTAAATAGTTCCACAGCCCTACCGAGAGTAGCTGCGTCACCTCCACTCACTCACTCGTGACTACCCACCCTCTACGTTCCCAAAATTCCCTAGCCCCTGACAATGCCAGCGTAGGGGGTGGGGGTGGAATGGAGGAACAACAATTAATAATACAAAAAATAGAAAGTCATTCAAATAGTTTCTGTCAGACCTCAAGGGGTGTATCTTCAGATTGTGATACTGAAGGGAGCAATGCAGTTTCTGTTGGATCTCTCCTGTCAGTTGTTGTTGTTGGGACAGCAGGTTCCTGCTGCAGTCCACAGAATCATAGAATCCCCAGTGAAGAAAGAGGCCATTTGGCCCATTGAGTCTGCGCTAACCCACTGAAGAGCATCCCACCCTATCCCCACAACCCGACATGGGGGTTGTTACCATGGCTAATCCACCTAACCTGCACATCTTTGGACTGTGGGAGGAAACCGGAGCACCCGGAGGAAACCCATGCAGGCACGGGGACAACATGCAAACTCCACACAGTTGCCTGAGGGTGAAACTGAACACAGGTCCACGGTACGGTGAGACAGTGCTAACCATCGGGCCACGATGTTGCCCAAAATAAAAAGGAATACCTCTGCTTTACCACTGACACCAAGATGCAAGGCCCTTTCAAATCATTTCCAAAATATGCGGCCCAATCAATGTGATAAAATGGACACCTGATTGGTGTTCATCGAATCATAACAGTACCAAAGAGGACCTTTGGATACCCAGTCTACACCGCCAAAGCTACACTATATCTGCACTAGTTCCACTTTGCAGTACCAGGCTCATAGTCTTGAATGTTGTGACAATACATTATATTATACTGTTCTTTGATTCCACTCCAAAAAGCCAGGACATGAAGCAGCTCCAATTGACTAAGGAGGCAAATAATCTTTCTAGTACTGGATTATTCCCTATTTAGCAAATACTCCAGTCCAGACCCTGAAATAACTGCACAGAGGTTGGTATCCTGTCACCAAGTCACCCTTTATTTATATTTGCACAGTACATTGGCTGTGACCAACCAGCTCGGAGTCAGTCCCTCAAGTGAGGAGATTCTGAATCTCTTGTTTATATCTGTTACCCGGAGCTCTCTGGTTAACAACCCCAGTCAAGGATCTCATAGTCAGTAAGATCCACCTGGTTCCAATCACTACATCATTCCCCCAAAATGTCTGGGAATGTAGGCCTGGTCTTTCTCTTGTAGCTTTTCCTGCGACATTCTCACCCCATGTCCAGTTCCTCTGACTCGGACTCTGAGATGGGCAGCATGTACCGGGCCAGAGGGCATCTCTTGCACCCAGGCCGTCTCGCGAGAGTTTCCTCCTCTTCTTCCAGCAGTAATGGTATCGTGGCTGCACCCATCTCAGACTCTGAGGTTTCCTTGACACGCAACAGAGGGGGAGAAACTACAGTTTCTGTCAGGCATTCTGGCTGCTCTGAGGGGCCGGGTATGTTTTGCTCTTGCCCCATTTGTGAGGTCGCGGCTTTTGAGTGATCCACATGATTGTCCAGGACCACCTCGCCTACTCGAACTTTGCAAGTCACAGTACCTGACTTTGCGTTGACCTCACCTCGTACCCATACAGGACCATTTCCTGGGTTGACCCCTGAAGTAAACTGTCTCTCTCGCTCAGAGGCGGCACGTGGCCAGCATTGGTGTTCCTGCTGCTGTTTCAACTGCAGCCCCCCCCCCCCCCCCCGCCCCCCCCCCCCCCCCCCCCCCCCACAACCCCGAGTTTTGGCAATATCAGGTTAACCTGGTGTGGAGTCTTCTCCCCATTAGCAACTCTGCTGGAGCTATCCCTGTTGTTGCGTGAGGGGTGGTCCTATAATCGAACTGAAACCGAGACAGTATGGTATCAAGTGAAGCTGTAGACTGTTTTGTTAAACCTGACTTCAATGTTTGGGTCCCTGTTTCTGCCAGCCCCATTGGATGACGGATGGTATGGAGTTATCCGAACATGGCCGAATGCCATTTGAATTCCCTGTGTAGTCAACATGTAACTGAGTCCAGGGTTTACCTGGCCATTCCCACAAATGTGGGGGCACCGGTGCAGCCAGTCTTGCCCTTGTTGGCACTCTGAGCACTGCCCTACCAACGCAGCTGTGTCAGCATCCAATCCTGGCCACCAGAGATAACGTCTTGCTAACATCTTCATTTTGGAAACCCCTGGATGACCTTGGTGTTCTGAGGATGGGTCACCGGACCTGAAACGTTAACTCTGTTTTCTCCTTCACGGATGCTGCCAGACCTGCTGAGCTTTTCCAGCAACTTTGTTTTTGTCCCTGGATGATCCTGGTGGAGTTCAGCCAGTATCTGGTGGCGACCTTTACTCGGGACAATCACCCTTGCTCACCATAGTGATATGTCGTCCTCTTCGGTCTCACCGGGTCCAGAAAGGTTTCAGGGCTGGATGAACACAGCAGGCCAAGCAGCATCATGGAGCAGAGCCTGGTCTGTGTTCATCCAGCCCTGCGCCTTGTTGTCTCGGATTCTCCAGCATCTGCAGTTCCTACTATCCCAGAAAGGTTTCAATCCTGTTTCCAATGACCCTTCTGTTTCTCCTATTTTGCCAGAACAGGATCTTTCTGTGACCACAGTTGGATATTGTCAGCAGTGATGGAAGGGTGTCCAGAAAGTTCCAAACCTGTACGGACACTTCCAGGGGAAGACACCCTCCTGGAAAGGGGCCTATAAGTTTTCTTACTCAAATCAGGCATTATAGGACTCCTTTGATGTCTCCAGTCTGCATACCAGCAGCAACTGTAATGGCTTGCCAGCCCAGATCCTGAAAAACTTTTTAACCATGTGTGCAAGGCTCAGCTTTGTTGTGGGTTGTGCTGTGGGTTGGCCTAGGGTCCCTCCGTTCAGGACAGGCCCTGTGTGAGGCTCTGTGATTGCCTACACTCAAGTGGTGTTCCCCAAGATTGGTCGGACAGGTAAGGGAGTCCACTTCCATTGGGATGCCCTGTAGCTCCCATGCTCCACTTGTCGCATTTTCTAATGACAATGCCAGTTGTACTGCCTGTTTGAAGTCCAATTGGACTTCAGCCAGTCGGCAATTCTGCTTGGTTACATCACTAATCCCAAATACCAAATAATCTCTCAGCATCTCATTCAGGGTTAACCCAAAATCACATGCCTCTGCCAGTCGTATTAACCTCATCAAAAATCCCAATACTGATTCCCCTGATTCTTGAACTGCCAAATAAAACTGATAATGTCTCAAAATTAGAGGAGGTTTGGGGTTGTAATGTTCCTTAACCGAATCTGTCAACCCTTGGAAGGTTTTAGTGCCTCTGGGCAAGTTAAGCCCCTAATAACCGAAAATGCTGCAGATCCACAAGCAGTCAGAAGAATTACTCGTTGCTTTTCATCTGCCCCAATGACATTGTCTTTACTGCCCAATAAAAAATATTGCATTCTTTCCGTATACTAGGCCCAGTCTTCAACAGCAGGATTGAACGAGTCAAGGTTTCAAAATAAAGGCACGATGCCAGAAATGCTTACCTCAACTCAAAGACAACTGCTCAGGCATGTATTTTCTCCCATCACCACTGAAATAACTCGAGAGAGGCCGGTATCCCATCACCAAGTCACCCTTCATTTACTTGTGCATACTACACTGGCTGTGGCAGACAGCTCGGAGTCACCAGCTCAGAGTCATCCCCGCAAGTCATGAGATTCTGAATCCCCTGTTTACATCTGATAGCCAGGGCCCCCTGATTGGTCCAGGTTAACAGCCCCAGTCAAGGATCTCATAGTCAACATGATCCACCTGATTCCAAACGTTATAGACCCATTCTGGATTAATAATCCCTGTCCGCAACTGATATGCACACACCGTACCCAATGAACAGCAAAGGTCAACTCGACTTAAACTTCCCACAGAGGCTGCCTGACCTACTGCATTTTTGCAGCAATTTGTGTTTCTAATTTCAGAGTCCCAACATCCTCAGTATTTTGCACCTGTACAGTAGTAAAAGGAGGTTTATTTACCTGGCAGCTAAGTGTTGCAGATGATGTTTGGGATTTCTGCATTCCCTTCATTTCCTGAAAAAAAAAATGTACAGAGTATTAATTTTCTAGGTACGATATACTAGATTCTGTGTAAAGAAGAATTTTTAAGCAAGAAATTCTTGATCCCCTTTGAAGAGCAAAACCTTTCCTTCCCATATTCAAAATATTGGAGAGCTGTATGTAGAACATTGGCATACTGTCACTTTCGAAGATAATTTCTGTGCACAGCAGATTCTTTTTCGCCCAGGAACAAACCACAAAATTCAACAATCAGCTTCACAACTGGGGCCCTAAGACAGATATAGCTGAGACATGAAATCGAGCTGCACTGCAAAATAGGCAGTCAGTCAGCAATCTTTTCTTTGTTCACCCATGGACTGTGAGCATCACTAGTTAGTTCTGCATTTATTGTCTATCCCTAGTTGCCCTTGGATTCAACTGTATGTCTTGCTAGGACAGCCCAGAGGGCAATTAAGAGTCAACCATATTACTGTGGGTCAAGAGTCACATGTCGGTCAGACAGTTTCTTTCTCTAAAGGACATCAGTAAACCAGATGGGGGTTTTTTTAACAACAATCAACAATGGTTTCACGGTCATCATTAAACTTTAATTCTGAGATTATTTTAATATATCTTTTCAAGCTATAAGTAGAAAAAGAGGAACAGGATCTTATCTTGGCTGCATAATGAACATGATATCAATATGACTACGAAGTGGTCATTTTTAGTTCCTATCAGATTTAGTAAGTGATTCAGGCATATTTCCTTAACAGCCAGCATCACAAGGTCCACCAGTTAAACAACTGATTTCCATTAGATCACTGCAGCCCAGGATTTCAAGTTAGAATCTTATAAATAGAAGATGAAAAGCTGAATTGCATTGCCTTAAAATCTTATTCCTTTTCATTTGATTTTAGACGACAAGATTCTTCAATGAGAAGGAATCTAATTATCCCCCTGTCATTCAATGTAATGTATGGTGTTGTCACGGTCTGGTAATTATTAGGAAAAAAAACTGTTAAAGGCAACTCCTTTGTGAATAAAACACGTAATCTAATTGTAACTAGATGCAAGAAGCTAAAAACGTGGCTACTGCAAGTCACATGATTGTACAACAACAAGTTCTATGTCGATTACACAGATCTTGTGAGACTGAGGGAAGAACCATGGGTGGGAGATGAGCTGTCTTCAGATGCCAATACCTTTGACGGAGCGTAACTTAATTTTCCCTAGGTCACCCGGCAACAGCAACTTTCTTAGCTGGTTAGGTAAGAATCATTCAAGAAGGGCCAACTGCCTAAATAAGATTCCATCTTGAACCTTCCTAGGAGAAACACCTATTCAGGCAGAGCGATTAAGGAAGAATGGGAGACATCTTGAAACAGTTTGTGGCCCACTACAATATAACTGGGCAGTTAAGCCAGAATACTGGCAGAACCAGAAATCAGGAATCTTCTCTCTCTTTCCCTCCCCTAAAATTTGCTGTCCTGTGAAATCTATCTATTCAGCCACAGAGGCTATTGCAGTTACTGAATTTGACTTCAAGTGTTAACCTCGTCATGGCAACAAGGAACTCAAGCAACAAGCCCAATAACATACCTCAGAAATTTACTGGGGTTTTCTATTTATAAGTACTCTTTTGGATTTATTGCTAATCATTTAAATCTCAATATCCGAAATTTCCCATTATAGAGTTAGAGTTATAAAATAAGACAGCATAGAAACAGATCTTTCTGTCCAACTAGGCCACACTGACCATGTTGCCACATGCCTGCATTTGGCCCATATCCCTCTAAACCTTTTCTATTCACATACTTATCCAAATGTCTTTTACACATTGTGACTGTTCCTGCATCCACCACTTCCTCTGGCAGTTCATTCCACACAGGAACCATTCTCTGTGTAAAAAAGTTGCCCCACATATCCTTTTTAAAACTTTCTCCTCTCACCTTAAAAATATGCACCCACCATAGAGGAAGAGCCTTGCTATTCATCTTATCGATGCACCTCACAATTTTATACACCTCTATAAGGTCATACCTCAACATCCTATGCTCCGGTGAAAAAGTCCCAGCTCAAAAACTCAATCAAGTTTGTGAGACATGATTCCCTATGCACAATGCCATGCTGTCTACCCCTAATCAGCACGTGCCTCTCCAAATGCGTGTAAATTCTACCTTTCAGAATTACCTCAAACAACTTACCCATCACCAATATCATGTTCACAGGTCTATAGTTGCCAGGGTTCTCGTTACAGCCTTTCTTAAACAAAGGCACAATATTAGCAACCCTCCTGTTCTCTGGCACCTCACCTGTGGTTATAGGCGATACAAATATTTCTGCTACAGGCCCTGCAATTTCTTCCCCAACTTTCCACAATATGCTGGAATACATTTGATCAGGTGCCAGAGGTTTACCCACATTTATGTTTGCTAAGACTTCCAGCACTTTCTCTTCTGTAATGTGGGCTGTTTTTTAAAACATCAATATTGATTTCCCTGAGTTGTCTAGCCTCTATTTTCTTTCTCCACAGTGAAAACTGATGCAAAATATTCATTTAGTATCTCTTCCATTTCCTGGGGTTCAACATTTGGATGACTTCATTAATCTTTAAGGGGCCGTACTCTCACTATAGTTGTTATTTTGCTCTTAGTGTACTTGTATAATCTCTTTAGATTATCCTTAACCTTATCTACCAAGGCTATTTCATATCCCCTCTTTGCCCTGTTGATTTCCCTCTTAAGGATGCCTCTACACTCTTAATATTCTTCAAAGAGATTCATTTGATCCCAGTTGTCCATATCTAATATATGAATCTTTCTTATTCTTGACTAGAACCTCAATGTCTTTATCTATCCAATGTTCCCTACTCTTACCAGCCTTACCCTTCACTCTAACAGGAACATAATGCCTTTTAACAATAATAATAACAATAATAATGTTGATAATGTTATTTATTTATTAAGGAGAGCACATGGGTCATATTAATCCACAGTTCATCGATGATGGACATGTCTCATGATCATGACAAATAATGTAATCATCACTGAACCTTTCACTATCAATATCCTGGGGGGTTTATTGTTGACCAGAATTGCAACTGGATGAGCCATATAAATACAGTGGCTGTAAAAACTATTAGAGACTAAGAACTCTGCAACAAATAACTCACTTCCGGACTCCCTGGCCGAACACTCAGATCCTGTGTGGACCAACTGGTGGAGGCATTCACCAACATCTTCAACCTCTCCCTCTTACAAGCTGAAGTCCCCACCTGCTTCAAGAAGACCACCATCAGCCCCGAAAACACATGATGTGTACCTTAATGACTACCGCCCAGTAGCTCTAACCTCAATAATCATGAAGTGGTTCGAGAGGCTGGTCATAGCCCACATCAACTCCAATCTCCCAACTGGTCTCAATCCCCTACAATTTGCCTACCGACATAACAGGTCCACAGCGGATGCCATATCCTTAGCCCTGCACTCATCCCTGGAACATCTGGACAATAAAGACACCTACATCAGACTCCTGCTCGTTGACTACGGCTCTGCCTTCAACTTCATTATGCCCTCCAGACTGATCTCAAAACTCCATGACCTTGGTCTCAGCTCTGCCCTCTGCAATTGGACCCTCAGCTTTCTGACCCATAGGCCACAATCAGTGAGGATAGGTAACTGCACCTCCTCTACAATAACACTCAACACTGGAGCCCCCCAAGGATGCATCCTCAGCCCCCTACTGTACTTCCTGTACACCCACAACTGTGTTGCCAAATTCCAAATGAATGCCATCTACAAGTTTGCTGATGTCACCACTGTAGTGGGACAGATATCTAACAATGACAAGTCAAAATACAAAAGGGAGATAGAGGGCTTGGTGATGTGGTGCAATGAAAACAATCTGTCTCTCAATGTTGGCAAATCTAAAGAACTGATCATCGACTTCAGAAAGAAAGGAGGAGAACACGCCCCCATCTACAACAATGGAACTGAGGTTGAGAGAGTGGAGAACGTCAGGTTCCTGGGAATGATGATAACCCGATGACCTGTCTTGGGCTTCCCACGTAAATGCAACAGTCAAGAAGGCACAACAACGCCTCTTCTTCCTCAGGCGGCTCAGGAAATTTGGCATGTCCATAAGGTCCCTCACCAGCTTCTACAGATACACCATTGAAAGCATACTGTCCAGGTGCATAATGGCCTGGTAACTGCTCTGCCCAGGACAGTAAGAAACGACAGAAGGTGGTGTGCACAGCCCAAACCATCACGGAAACCAACTTCCATCCATGGGCTCTATTTACATGGCTCGCTGCTGCGGAAAGGCAGTCAACCTCATCAAAGATCCTTCATTCCCTGGTAATGATTTCCTACAACCCTTCCATCGGGCAGAAGATACAGAAGCCTGAACACACGCACATACAGGTTCAGGAACAGCTTCTTTCCGGCCATTTTCAGACTGATAAATGGACTCTAGCCGCAAATAATGTAACCTGTATGCCTCAATGGCATGGGTGGCACGATGGCTCAGTGGTTAGCACTGCTGCCTCACAGCGCCAGAGAATAGGTTCAATTCCACCCTCGGGCAACAGTCTGTGTGGAGTTTGCACATTCTCCCCGTGTCTGTGTGGGTTTCCTTCGGGTACTCCGGATTCCTCCCACAGTCCAAAAATGCGCAGGTTAGGTGGATTGGCCATGCTAAATTGCCTGTAGTGTTCAGGGACGTGTAGGTTACAAGGGGATGGGTCTGGGTGGGATGCTCCAAGGGTCAGTGTGGACTTGTTGGGCCGAAGGGCCTGTTTCCACACTGTAGTGATTCTATGTAAAAGTCTTTGTGATCTGTTAAATCCTTTGCTTGCTGTGATCTGCCTGTACCGCTTGTAAACAAAGCTTTTCACTGTATTTCAGTACACATGACAATAAAATCACTCAATCAAAGCCTGTCCACCATCTACAAGGTACAAATGAGGAGTGTGATGGAATATTCCCCACTTGCCTGGATGGGTGCAGCTCCAACAATACTGAAGCAGCTTGACACCATCTGGGACAAAGCATTCCCATCTCATTGGTAGGCCATCCTCCATCTGAAACATTCATTCCACCAGCATTGCACAGTGCCAGCAGTGCATGTCATCTACAAGATGTACTACAACATTTCACCAAGATGATAATTAATACTTTTTCCAACATATTAAGTATCACCTGCTTCCCCACATCACCAGAGGAACCAGATATCATAATATTGCTGGAGAAAATAGTGTATTATGATGCCACGCAGCAGGTTCCTGTCCAAATTGAGACATAATCTCACAAACACACACACACACACACACACATATGAATGTAAACAAACACAGGAAATATGCATACCACATCCTTTACAGACATACGCCAATCTGATGAATCTACCACATGTCTTCTGTTTGCTATCACTAACATATCCCTTCAAAAGGGAGGAAAGTGAAATCAATGTGAAATCAGCGCAAAACAACAGTCACAACGTAAACTTTTCAGACTCAACAACCAAACACAAAATTTTTCTTGTTAAACGGACTGTTCCGTACCTGTTCCTTTTGGTAAAGCAGCTGGTGTTCCCGACGAAGTATGTTTTCATAACACATGGAATAAGTCTCAAAGTTGCTGCGCTCTCTCTCCATTACATCACAGGCTAGAGTCAGAAGGCAGTCTTTTAAATGGTCTTTGCTGAAAGTAATCTGTCAAAAAGATCATCAAATCTTTGAAGCACGTGGCAAAGTTTTGCTTCATATACACATCATTGTAATGTTACAGTTGTGGTACAAGGTTTTTGGCTTGTGATTCCAACTACCCATGCCCCATTCCCACTTCCAGAGGGGATTAAACATTTATTTAAATAGAAACAATGAGCAGGGCTAGAGGGAAAAAAACAGGAGATCGGGACATAGTCATGATGCGCATTTGTAGAGCAGGCGCAGACAGATGGACCAAATGGCCTCCTTCTGCATCATAACAATTCTGTGATGCCTCAACACGAAATGAGATCGCAATTCCCCTGAGATTAATCCATCACTCTTCAGCCATCACTAAACCCCAATGAACATTCTAGTCTCAGTCTAATGGAAAGATTTTGCCTGACTCCAGTGAAATGCCTGTAGACACACAGAGCATGGCTAGCTGCTGGTGACTTCAGTGGGCAACCACAGCGGAACAGAACTAGCTGTCTGTGGAGCAGCAGGAGAGGACTTATGAAAAGGTATGCAAAATGGAACTGAAACCCTTGCTACTGAGTGGGTTGATTGGGATGTCCTGTCAAAATTGAAGTGCTTTCCCAACAGAGCAACACTGAAGAAGTGTTCTGAGGGTCACCGGAACCGAAATGTTAACTCTGTTTTTTGCCTTCACAGATGCTGCCAGACCTGCTGAGCTTTTCCAGCAACTTTGTTTTTGTTCCTGATTTACTGCATCCGCAGTTCTTTTGGTTTTTACTGAAGGCTAGGAACCACATACAGGAAAGAAGTGGAAGCTTTGCAAACTGCAAAAACGGTTGCCTAAATTGGAGTGTATTAGCTATAAGGAGAGATTGGGCAAACTTGGATTGTTTTGCTAGAGCACCGGAGGCTGAGGGGTGACCTGATAGAAGTATATAAAATTGAAAGAGACATGGATAGGATGAATAGTCTGAGTCTTTTTCCAGGATTGGAACATCAAATACTAGAGGGCATGCGTTTAAGGCGACAGGGGGAAAGTTTAAAGGAGATGTACAAGGCAAGTTTTTTTTTACAATGAGGGTGGTAGGTGCCTGGAATACGCTGCCAGGGGAGGTGGTAGAAGCAGATATGATAGCAATATTTAAGAGGCATTTAGACAGACACATGAACAGGCAGGGAATAGAGGGGAATATGGACCATGTGCAGGCAGATGGGATTAGTTTAGAATGGCATCATGGTCAGCACAGACATTGTGGGCCGAAGGGCCTATTCCTGTGCTGTACACTTCTATGTTCTATATTAAAGTTACTACCACCCCTCCCCATGTTTCACCAACAGACTTCCATTTACCTGAGCTACAGCTATTCCAAGATCCATTAACACATGATTGAAAGCCCAACGAAAAGAAACCAGATCTAACTTTATTTTTCATTTGGGATATTCCACAAATTAAATGTTTAAAATAACAATGGAACATAGCTGGTATCTACAGCATTACAAAATGACTGTCTCTGACACAAGCAACTAAAATAAAGAGATTTAACTTTACAAGATCAATCATTTCAATCCTGATCAGAATAGTTACTTAGCTTGCGAAATGACCTTGTTAACCAAGACATATTATTGGCACTTGATAGCAAATTCACAAGTAACAAAGTCACAAGCTTATTTTAAGTTTTTAAAGTGCCGGCAAATCAAACCTGGTTTTATACCTCTTTATCAGTCTCTTGTGAATACTCCTTCAATTTTTGAACAAATTTTTCAACAATTTGAGGCCTCACTATCAAGACATTTTCTGTCATGGCTGAATGTTTCCAAACATCTGGAGGAAAGGAGAATTTTAATTGTTTAAGTTGCATTTCTTCACCCTTTTTAACGACAGTGTTTAAAACATCTTCGATGCTTGCAAATCAGGTATTTTTAATACTACTGCCCTTCAGTTCCAATACATCATCATCTGAAGATCTTTACCATTTCTAACTCTGTAAAGAACAGTGACAACCAGTTTAGCTCCTGTGATGAAAAATTCAAGAAATAGGAGCCACAAATTACATAGAGTCATAGAAAGTCAGGCAGAACTGGGAAAAGTATTATAGCATTCAATACCAAGAAAGGCCATTGGAGTGGACACTATGAATAGGTTCAATGACTTATTAACAGGATATTATCCGGGAAAGACAGGATAAATAAATGTAAACTATTTCCACTGGTTAGGGATTCTCGAACTAGGGGGCATAATCTGAGAATTAGAGCCAGACTGCTCAGGTGAGATGTTAGGAAGGACAAAGGGTGCTGGATGTTTGGAACTCTCTTCCATAAATGACAGTGGATGCTGGATCCATTGTTTGTTTTAAATCTGAGATAGATCTTTTTCTGTTAAACAGAGGTATTAAGGTATATGGAGGTGGGGTAAAGATCATTCATGAACTCATTGAATGGTGAAACAGGTTCGAGGGGCTGAATGGCCTACTCTTGTTTCTTTGCTACCAATTGATTGATGTTGTGAAGAAAACAAACTAGTTTAGTCTATGGATGTTTAATGTTAATAGAGTGCTCTTCAACTAAAATTTTAAAAGCCAGAAATAAACAGGCAGGAATTCATGAATCAAATAATCACATATTATCCAATTAATTAGATATTGTTAGTTTCAGTCAATAGCACAGGTGAGAAACCTGAATACAGAGAAGGAGAAAGATATAACTGTACTAAATTGAGAGGAGAGTGAGAGATAGAAGTTAAATGCATTTATATTGTGCCTTTCATGGTTTCAGAGCATCCTGAAATACTTCACAGCAAATGGGGCACTTTTGAATTGTCATCATGCAGAAAATGAAGCAGCCAACTGTATACAGCAAGATCCCACAAACAGCAATGTAATAACATATTTTGTGATGTTGAATGATGAATAAATATTGCTATAGTCACTAAGGAAAACTCTCCTGGTCTTGTTAAAACAGTCCTGCTGCAGCTATGGGGAGGAGGTGGCATGGTGGGTGTAGTGATTGTAATGAGGTGAATATGAGTTCCCTGACTGGGGCTGTTAACCTCGTCCAATTAGGGAGCCCTGGCTGACAGATATAAACAGGAGCATCTGAGGTTCTGTTCACTCTGAGAGCTGGCTCTGATGAAGGCGGACCTGTGTCAAGTACTATGCACATGTAAATAAAGGGTGATTTGGTGACAGGATGCTGGCCTCAGTGGAGTTATTTCAATGGCGATGTCACTGGGCTAGTAATCTAGAGCCCCAGGCTAATAATCTGAGGGCATTGGTTTGAATCCTACAATGACCGATAGTGAAATTGCAGTTCAATAAAATCTGGAATCAAATGCTAGCCTACTAGGCTCTTTACCTGAATGCATGCAGCATTTCTAACAAGGTTGATGATAGAGATAAAAGAATGTGGCTTGATAGCTGTTAAGAGAGACATGGTTGCAAAACAGTAACCTACGCAAGTGAGGAATTATCAGCCTTTTGCTGACCGTATCATTCTTTACCTATTGGCAAAGTTGCTTCACCTCTGGCTCTTTCTGACATAACAAGCGTTATCTCCTTTGCGATTTTCTTCTGAAGCTCATGAATCATGTAACATTCCATGCTTTCAAGAATTTTGTGCAGCTTGCAACAAAATAAATGCAGACAGGGTGGTCAGTTATTTCAATTTTCATTTGGGTTTGTACGAAGGCGCAATGAAATCTCGCGCTAACTCAGTGTACATTATCAGTGTAGATTTCCCATAATGTTGCTCACAGACAAGAACAAATTTGTATCTCTCTGCAAATGTTTGCTTCTCTGTGTCTTCTCTGTCCTGTTTTATCTTCTGTCTCTCCCTCTATCACTGTCTATAAAGATGTCAATTTTCTAATTACAATCTTTCAATCTCTTCCTCCCATCTCCAAAAAACTGGAAGGTCCTCACATTTAGTAAACCATCAAAAGACTATCTCAAGGCCTGGACACTGGTGTGGACAGCAAAAGAAAGGACAGGTAGCAGATCAGAAACAAAAACAGAAGTTGCTGGAAAAGCTCAGCAGGCCTGGCAGTATCTGTGAAGAGAAATCAGAGTTAATGTTTCAGGTCTGGTGACCCTTCCTTAGAACTTACTCAAACGTTTGAGAAAGGGTCACCAGACCTGAAACATTAACTCTGATTTCTCTTCA